GCAGTCTTGGTTTGCAGTTAACATACTCAGGCTGGTTTGACACATAAAATTCTACGAATTTATACAGCGTTGTTCCATGTGTTTATATTATAAATGAAAAAGTTACGATGATAGATGTATGTTTAGAAGTTTGATAACTCAAACCAACTAAAATGTCTAAACGGATTTTGATGGAATTCCTTGGATTTATAGATTATAACATGGAAATACCTTCGACTCTTTAGAGCGCAAAAGAAGCAGAAGTTTTTTTTTATGATAAGCGATTTTTGTGGTAAGGGAAACGCCTAAGTAGCTATAACAATTGCAAAGATCTGAGGGGCACTGCTACTGTGCTTCATTTGTGTGTAATTTCACCAGCATCCTTACCCTTCAAAACCGGAACGCAGTAATGCTCACTTTACTGCTTAGCGGCAGAAATAAGGACGTTGTACTTGCCTGGACGAACTCATTCATATGGATGAGCTCTACTGCTATCAACAGATACTAAACCACAATGGTCACAACAAATATGTCAATCATCTTTCTCTTTCGATACCTCCAATGTACACTACGCCAACTTAATTTATGTTTTTATTTTGGTTTTTGTTCCTTTTTTCATAAATTTCGTTATTTTCTTTTCTTTTTGTGGAATTTTGTCTTTTGTTTCTTTATTTTTATTACAATTCGGAGAGCATATGTAATATTAGTAACTGAATATATCTGTTTACAAATAACTGAAACTGACCAAAAAATAAAGTTGGGCGTAGTGTTTCATTGGAGGTATCGCTTTTATGTATGCCTATGTTAAGCTGTACTCGTAAATTAAGCAGGTAATTACAACCGCGTGAGGATTTTTTTTAGATCAGTATAAAGTATAAAGTTCAGTATAAAGTTCTTTGGCAAATACAAACGGCACGACAAAATACTATATATATTGGAAATGAAACTATTTTTCCGGATTTAAATAGCAAACAAACCAAAGTTTCGGGCCCTTTACAGGTCCCAAGGTCACGGTTGACTGAGGTGGTACAGTCATCAACCATTTATGTCTAATATTAATGCAAACCATCCCATTTTTCACTATAGTTACAAAACTTATTAATTCAATATCTACCTTATTTTTAATTTTACAAAGAAACATTCCAATTTACGCTACATTATGGTAATTATTTTATCTTAACAATATGAATTTTTATATGAAAACATATTAGTTAGTACTGCAGTCTTATGTCTGTTTGGGACTTTTCATCGGAGGAAATACTGGATCCGAAACTGGTGGTACGGAGAAGCCATCTTCCCTGTTGAAATTACGATGCTTTTCAATTTCAATGGCCTTTCGGAGTAACAATCGCGAAAACCTAAGTATTATATATTTTTAACATGACTACGACACTTCCTAATTTTAGTGCTTCAGACCCTGGTGGTGTTCTCTTCAACTTCAGTTTGCAAATCAAAAGAGCGGTTGACCGTGTGTTTTATACACGAACCATTTCCTGCAAACAAATTGTAATTATTGCATGTTAGTAATTAGGCAATAATAAGGCCTTCAAAGGTTTGTATGTATGACTCGTGTTTGGCCGGACAAAGAAAAACTGTAGAAAAAAATATAAAAAGACTTATTCATGGCTTCAATAAACACTTGTAAATTTAGAAAACAATAAAACAGCATTAAAACGAAATGTAAACAGTTAAAAATTAGTAATTAATGCGAACACAATGAGTTGCAACCACGAAAAGACTGCGACTCAGCATAATACCACTCTCAAAACTGACGCTGGTTTTCCGCCGCATCCTCACACTTTCCGGCGTCGACAGGATCCCAAAAAACGAAGAAATGGTCAATAAATAAATAATTAAAAATTGAGCACAAAGCGGGTGCGGGTCGGGCGCTTGTCGGCAATTATACTCGCCGCGCTCCCGATCCGCACCCGCTTTCAACGGGTTTCACGCTTTAGGAACGGTGATATACTATATTATGGTTACACATTATGGTCTGCAATACCTAAAGTATTGAAGGTACATACAGTGAGTGATACTACATAATTCCATTAAATTATATATTAAACATGAACGGGTGTCAGTACAATGGGTAAGCAGGCAAGTGTAGACTATAGCCTACAGCTAGGTACCTAATTTTGCGCCTCGAACTCTGTACTATGAAAAGCTTTCGCCATTAGAGCTGTTTTTGCGTTTCTAACAAAATTGCTTTAAGGTAGGGTTTCTTCACCTGTGGTCCATGGGGGTCTAAGGGGCCCGTGTAGTGAACGCTGGGGTTCCATGGCGAGCCTACCTAACATAACAAATTCATTTGCATACAAATTGGTATAGAATATGTTGTGTTTAAATAGGTAACTAAAATAGGTACTGTTTGCGTGACCTTTTTGAATTTTCGCACCCGAGAGAGGAGCGAGCGTGACGCGCGTCAATGCAATCCGCGAGCCTTTCTTCTTCTAGAGTGGTTTCGTTGAACATAGGAATGATAAACGATGTGATTCCCTTCATAAAACCAAAAACCAATGTCATAAGATGTTTCCATTGAATTCCATAGCATTGTGACTGTGTGACTCCTTACATCGTCATCCCACCTTTTTATATCGCTTTTCTCCATTCGTATCGTATCGTTTTTTTATCTTCTACTAATATTTAAATTCAAAATTTTGAATTGTTCCGTTGTATCTCGCATTCTGATTTTGTTTCTTTCCATCGTCACTCCCTGCCCGATCGCGGTAGCGGACACATCTCGTTAATTTTTTTGAACCATTTTACAAGTTACCAAAAATCTCTTGTGCTATAAACATTTATAAGACCACAAAAAAAAACTAAAATATTTTTTATATTTCCATTATCCACCACCGTAGATCTGGGTCAGTAATCCTGTATTATATTAGTTTTAATGCAAAACGACAGTATCCAAAAAAATGACGATATCCTTCACGGACTTTCTAGTAAAATGTTCCACGACTCAGCGATCTCTGTCACTACCAAAAACATGTCAGTATCGCGCTGTCTCCTATGCCCCGTTCCCCTTACACCACATAACGTCTTGTAGCAAATTCTAGGCAAACACACAACGGACACGGGGGTTTTTTGCATTATAAAGTTCGTACTCTCAAATCCAAGATGACGTTAAAAATTAAAAAATAATAGTTTTTTGTATAGGGACGTTATCTTTTTCAATGTGCAAAATTTTAGCAAAAACGAATACTCATGTAAACCCCTCGAATACGCTACGGATGTACTTAGCTTCTCACTTCGTATCAAAGTGTACATGCGATACACGAACAATCTTGCATGGATAGGTTTGTACGAAAAAGAGTGTACATATAATGTATTTTAAACATACTGTTTGTTAGTATAATTTTATGGTGAATCTTATGATCTGGTCGATTTTTTCAACATTTGTGCGTTGCAATCGTCTCCACTCTGTCTACCACTGCACGGAACCAGTAGAAATAAATCTTTTCTTAATTACGCTCTCTCTAATTTTATGATCTCCTGTGTTATGTCTCCTATTTTAATAAACTTGAATATTTTCTGTGTAGAGGATATCTATGTTCAGACAGTTGACATTAAATATCAACTGCCTTGATGCAATAGGCCGAGACATTGCATCGTGGAACAATCTGACCCTATTCCTATATGACAACTTTTTCGCTTAGACTTAAACATCGAGTATATAACCAGAAATAGAGACGAAATAAGGGCCATATATTCCTGGTAACACATTAGCGATACAGCTCTTATAAATATCAACTCTCGTTTGCACTGAAATATAGACAGGCCAACTACTGACCTGTGTGTACGTCTCCGTATATTCCAAAAAATATTCTGTGTTTATTGTAATAAACATAATATTTTTAACAATGCCGTGCTGTTCTGTTCAGTGGTGTGGGAAAAACAGCAAAACATCTTATTACAAAACAAAATGTATCACATTTCATCGGTAATTAAATACTAAATATGTAATTTTGCAATTTTCGTCCATTATAGCAAAGCTCAAGTTAACTGGTCGTTTTGAAGTGAAGTGACGACACCCCTTGACAACACCTGTCAATTGTTTCGAACTCGGGCTAGCCAATCGGAGCGCAGTTGTCACAGTAATGATATAACATAATAGTCTTCAAACAAATTAAATGATATTTCGTCTCTATTTCTGGTTATATACTCGATGTTTAAAGTCTCGTCGATGACTTTAAATAAGGAATTGAATAAATACAAATAAATATTCTGAAAAGTAACATAAATATTTTGTGCAACAGGATAATTTGAAAAGATTTTATTGTCTCGAAACAACTCAGATAAACATTACGGAAAGTTACTTTGAACCTAATTTTTAGATATTTCACCTAACCGTAGAGATACAAATGATTATATCCGGTGATGGCGAGGATGATTCCTCTTTTTTTAGCAAAACCATTACGGGGTGACGTCACGACCCGCTGTTATCGTTTCATTGTAACTTCTGATTTCTGCATAACTATAACCACTTTATTTTACACATTTGGACATAATTATTAAATGACGGGACGAAACAGTCGTGCGCCTGATGGTAAGCGACACTCCTGTCCATGACAGTTGCAGTACCACTCAGAGCTTTGAATCACAAAGATCTGAGGGGTACTGCCACTGCGCCCGACACCCTGAGACATAAGTTGACTAGTCATAAGTTACCCATCGAAACCGGAACGCAGTAATGCTCAACCTATTGCTTGGCGGCAAAAGTAGGTAAGGTAGCAGTACTTCCCTGCACAAACTCTTTCATAGGGATCCCTACTGTTACTAAAATTATAAATCTCAAAAGTCTGAGGGGCACTGCCACTGCGTCAGTCACCCTGATACACAAGTTGATAAGTCTCATGTGTCTGTATAGTAGAAATAGATATGGATGGGGCAGTACTGCATGGTGCAATATTTCACTGCCCTGTTCTGTTGCCAGAGGGGATCTTTGAAGCTCAATAGTCAATCATTTTATTGCTCTCCAAAATAGGTTGTATCTAATTGTACATTTTGTTCTTTCACAGCACGCGGCAAAGCACCAAGGAAATTTCATACAAGGCTTCATAGCGGCATTGTCAGTCGTCGTAGTGTCGGAACTTGGGGACAAGACCTTCTTCATTGCAGCAATTATGGCCATGAAACATGCTCGCCTGGTCGTCTTTGCCGGTGCCATATCTGCCCTAGTCTTCATGACTGTAATAGCCGCAGCATTCGGCTGGGTGGCTACTGTGATACCAAGGATATATATACATTATTTAAGTGTGGCATTGTTCGTCATATTTGGTCTTAAAATGTTGAGAGAGGGAATCAAAATGAATCGTAATGGTGGGCAGGAAGAGCTAGAAGAAGTTCAAATGGAGTTGAAGAGAAGAGAAGATCAGGTCAGTTTTTTATGATGTATTAAAATTTGTTAGGAACTTTAAGATCAGCTGAATCGGTTTATTCTAATTAGTTCCATTAATAATTCCTTTTGGTTAACTACGGAGACTTTTTTCCGTTTAGTTCCTACTCGGACTAGTTTGGTAGTAGTATAAAGAAAATATTTCAGTAATACTTTTTCATGAATAGATGCTGATAAGCAATAACGTGTCAACCAACATGACCGTAGTTTTGTGAAAATGACATCTAAAGATTATTTTCGTTATTTTTGATAGTTTGTTCAAAAATTTACTTATAAAATGAACACTTTCATAGTTGTCCTCTCAGGAATGATTTATTGTTGCGATATATTACTATAAATCCTCAACAACAACAAGCACAACACCAAAAAAATATTTAGATTTTCACATCGAGTATACAGGCAGAGACGAAATGTCATTTAATTTGTTTGAAAACTATTCTGCCATATCATTACGGTGACAAGTGCGCTCCGATTGGCTAGCCCGAGTTCGAAACAATTGACGGGTGTTGTCAATTGTTTCACTTCAAATCGACCTGTTCAACTTGAGCTTTGCTATAATGAACGAAAATGGAAAAATTACATATTTAATATTTGATTACCGATGAAATGTGATTGCGTTTTTTTTGTAATTAGACGTTTTGCTGTTTTTATATTTATTATTTTATTTATTATATAGTATATTTATAGTTAGAGATATTATTTTTATTTCAATAAATATGGAATATTTTCACAGGTCAGTTATTGTACTATTTCAACTTTCTAATTTGTGATTTCAGTGCATTGGAGATTTGATATTTAAAAGTGATATAAGGTCCATTTACCTGATGAGTCGCCAGGAATGCAAGGCCCTTATTTCGTCTCTAGTTCTGGTTATATACTCCATGCGTTTTCGCATAACTATGGTCATATTGGTTGACACCTTATTGCTTAACAGCATCCAGTTCAGAGAACTACTGAAAATAAATCGGTATATTAAAATATTTTCGGGGGAAAGGGAGTTGGATTAAAATTAGATAACTTGATTACTAAATAGAGACGTTTGTAATAACTACTGATTTTTTAATTATTAGCTGGCTAATTCAATTTCGTAATTTTTAGGTTGTCTAGATATATCATTGCAAAGTATGCCGTGAACATTGTCCCCTTCCCCTGTTTTTTAGTCAATAATAAAATTTAAGTTTTTAACAAATCGGTGTTGCAAATCTGTGCCGTTCGCTTTATCTTCGAAGGGGATTATCATTATTTTATTTAAATTTGATTTTTATCTATTATCTATTATATAGATTGCGTGACATTATTATATCGATATAACTAGATTTAAAAAATGAGTGTTCAATTTAATGAGACTGATTTTTTAAAATACAGGATTACAAAATAATCAATATGAGGGAACTTTTCACATGGAGGCACGTAAATTATTATCATTGGCGAACATCGGAATAGGCGAAGTATATTTTTAATTCAAGTAATACACATAGAGTGCATAATACCTTTATCTGAAATCTCGGAATTGTTATATATTGTGGATGTGTGCGTTAGTGTATGTCGATGAAAAGTTTTGTAATTGATTGATAAAATATACATAAAAACTGGTTTCTTAGACGTTTGGATGACGTCACCAATTTCTGCAAAACTTGAAATCCGTTGTTGCTTCAAGTTAGGTTTATTCCAAAGTGCCCGGTTACAATACGTGTCAGATAGGTCCAGGTAGTCGTTTTGTACCGACGTTCGTATCAATCACAATTGGATAGTTACCATTCATGGGAGAATCATAACACCGCGTTGCGGAATTTAGGTAAAATAGGTCAATGCCATCTAGCTGATTTTTAGGGAACTACATGAATATGAAAAACTTTATATCAAATTTGACCAACTTCTGCTGTCCCGATTTTTTTCGTCCCATACAATTAAATAATCTTTACATAAAACCGAGTCGTTTAACAATAAAGCAAATTTAATCAGTTTTATTTATTTTTATAGACAACTCACTTGACCAAATAATTGACTATGTCGTTATATTTTAATTTCAATTCAAGACAGTTTTATTACTTTATTTAGAGCAGTTTTGTTATCTGTAAGCTTATTATACTACGGCCTCTCTATGAATGTCATATAAAGAGTACGGGAGCGTTTAATGTCAAAATTTTGGATATTTCTGGTTATTTAAAAAAAAAGTTAATGTCGATTTACTCATTAAGTAACATACTTTCTGTAATAAATTAATGCTTACTGTGCAAAAGTGAAAGTCGTAGCCATCGAAATAACAAAGTAATAACGTTAAATCCCTCTCCTGTGAGATTTGGTTTGGTGCAGATACGCGTATTTTACCAATACTACAAACGCGGATTTGCACTATCTCCGGCGATATGTCAAAGTACCTATCGAATACAGCGGTTTTCTTGTTTGTTCTGAATTTCGAAGTAAGTTTGTGTTTTTTTTCCATCGTGAAAATTTTTAGAAATCTTGTTTCATACCGTATTATCAGTGTATATACTCAATTTTACTATATACTTTTTCCAAAGAAGAAAAGATAAAACGTTATACCATGATAAGAATTATGCCACTAGTTGTAATATTTTCATGAATTACCACGTAGGTTTTAATCCTCAGTCACGTAGCTTTATAAGTATCTTATTTACGTAATCTCCAACTCATCAATAATTTAAAACACCTATAACTGATGGCAAATTTTGATTAAATGATAAGTTTTGTATGATTGAAATATTGTACTAACTGTAATACTAACACCGATAAACTATGATTACAACCAATGGTCGGAAAAAGATATTCCACATATACAGATAGGTACATGTATAGATATAATTATAAATAAATAAATAAATAAATAAATAACGCACACACTCAACATAGCCCCGCACTAGGGAAACCCTGTGTCGCGGGTGCCATGGACACACACATAGACAACCACAAATTACACCCAAATCACGAGAGAAATAATTGTAGGTCATACAACTATTTCTCCCGGCCCGGGAATCGAACCTGGGACCTCTGCGTGGCAGTTCGGCATGGTATCCGTTCGGCTACGAAGGCAGTTAAAATAATAATATAAATAATAATAAGTTAAAATAAGGACCGACATAGAGTTGTTAAAACCACCAAATATTAAATAATTACTTTTTCGAATTCCGGATTTCCGTAAATGGTTTTACTGCATCGTAGGACTAAGCTACTGGCCTAGGAAGTCGAAGTTGGATTTTAAAGTAATTCTAATGGTGCCATGTAAAAAAATGCACGAGATAACTGACCTTTTACTATTGACAGTCACATTGACGGAACGGCAACAAGGCTGTTAGTTATCTACTACATTTTTTACATCGTCCTATTTGAATTACTTCGAAAGCGAACTTCGACTTCCTAAGCCAGTAGTTTGTCCTACGAAGCAGTAAAACCATTTCCGGAAATCCGGAATTCGAGAAGTAATGAATTAATATTTGTATGAATTAATATGTGGTGTTAACAACTTTATGTTGCTCCTTGTAGCTGCTGTATCTATATATATGGCACATCTTTTTCCGACCATTCATCATAACATAAAATTTATGCTAATCCCGGATATAAACCCTCGTAAGAAAGAAAGGCTCAAGCACCTAATTCAAAATTCGGAGATATTCGCCGACCTCATCGTCGTTTTCCTTCATGTCAAATGCGCACTTATTTACTTATAAAAGAAAATTAAATAATAAGAATAGTTCTCTAGAAGAGAATTAAGTATAAAAATTAAATTAAATATTATTTTATAAAAAAATTAAAAGAATAAAAAAGTAGACTGTGTATATTCCTCAATCAAGATCGACTGTTGTTCGATTTTATGTTTCCTAAACGAAACAATAAATTTATTTAAAAAAAATCTAAAAACACCTTTAGATATGCCTTTTGAATAACGAGATTATGTTTTGTCCTCTTTTCGCTGTATAATCACATCGGACTCTGTTCTTCGGATGAGTAGAATATATTAATTTATTTTACATTATCAATATCACAATTGAAATTACAATGTCAAGGGATAATATAATATATTTGTAAAGCTCTTATCTCACACATACATTATCAAATCAACAGACAACATTATGTACGAGTACGTGTATATAAAATTATAGCATATATTATATTTATATATAAAATTATAGATAATATGCAGTCATCTGCCTTTATTTCTCATCTAAAACGTATCGTATCTTTCCTTTAGTGTTTTTAAGATAGCAAACATGCTTTTACGAGTTTATAATTTATTGACGTAGTTATCTGGTAGATAATATAAAAATTCAATAAAACATAGCTTATAAGATTTTTCAAAGGCGCTCTAGGTAGTTAGGTATATTTGTTTATCAATACAAATAAATTTGAAAACTTAAGGAAGTTGCTTTTTTCATTTTGACTCGTATTGTTATCAACTGCAAGTTCTGTAGGTATACTAATTATGAATAATAAAATTTGTTTTGTAAGGCAAAGTTCAAAGGGTTTAACTATTTTATTGCATCTTTCTAAATTTCTTAGTTGACTTTAAATTATATAGTATAGCTGGTTACAAATGTTGAATTCCTTTACGTACTTAATTTATTTATAAACAATAGAATATAATGTATATTACTTGCTACCCATTGCTGGCACGAGTGTTATGAATATATATACTTATATACATTAATTACACGGGAAGGGGACGTACACTAAATAGAGGCCAAATGCGGTTAGTCACTTTAAAATAAGAATTTAAAAAAATGCGCAGGCTCAAAGACCTGGAGGTGGAACTGCTTCAGGACCTGGGCCTCCCGTTGAGGAGATCGCAGGACCTTCAAAGGCCTTAGTGGACGACGCCCAGACTGTATTAGAAGAGGCCTCAGAACCATCAAGTCCCACAGAAGAAGCGGGGCCATCAAAACCAAGGCTAACAAAACTGGCCCGTGTAAACAAACTCATCCACCTAGAAGCAGGGCCATCAAAACCAGGGCCACCCAAACCAGGGCCATCGAAACCAGGGTCATCGAAACTCAAAGCAAAACTGGCCCGCCTAAACAGCCTGATCCGCAGTATGAAAGATCCGCTGAGGGTGAACTAACGTCTATATGCCTGGCAGTACGAATTACACCATAGTTTTTTCTTTGAGCCTAGTTATTTTTTTTATTTCGCACATATTCCATGATCATGTCAGTTGAACAGGCTGCTATTAGCTTATAGTTGTATTGAGTAAAGGAATTCAGCATTTGAAAACGCTTGTAGGTAATGCTTGGGCAGAAAAAAAACCTGTTGGCAGAATACACTTTAAACCTAAAGGATGTTGCCGTTTTTTTTAAAATAATTCATTACCATGAATAAACAAAAAATAATAATGTTCAAAAAGTATTTTACTAATTGGATGGTAATGTTTTTACGTTCTTCTAATAGAACTGTAGGATATTTTTTCTCCGTTCAGTACTAGCATTGGCAAAAAAGGAATGATTCTTAAACATTTTACGACGCTTGTTGTCAGAAATATTGACATGCTTTATCTCAGGGGATATACATTATACATGGCACATTTTCTGGACATTATCTAATGTATTTTTTTCTGGCCTAGCTTTTTCGCCTCATGTTTCTCCATCTATTTGTTTTATTACTAAAGTTGATGAGATTGTTGTTATTGTTATGGTTGCCTAGTATGGAACAATTGATTAGCTTCGTCGCATTATTTATTTTGGCTCAAGATATTTCATTATTTTCGTGCAATAATACTAGCTTGATTTTAAATATATATGTTTAAAAAACTTTCATAGATTTGTCACGGGTGGCACTACGGTCATTAAAGTCATTAAAACCAAAAACTAACATCTGCAACAAGCACATAGAAACGTTAGTGAGGTCTGCTGGTTCGGTTAAAGGGCAACTCTGTCAAATGTTTGACCAGACACAATACGAGGTTTCAGTGTGCATTATTCAGTGGTGTCTCTCTGATGATTAGGGTGCCTTCAAATCAAACGTGCAGCCGCGCCACTACTCATTTTCCTGGTCATTCTCTGTTATTTTTGTAAACAGCCATATTTATTTACTAATTTTATGATCTAAAAAAAAAGGAAACAGAAAAACAAAATTCGAAAAAAAAACGAAAAAAACGATTTTTGTGTAAAAAAGTAATAAAATAAAAATAGAACAGGTCCAAAAATTGAGCTGGCGTAGTGTTTCATTGGAGGTATCGAGATATTTATTGTATGAAAATTAGTAGCGATGCCACAGATCCGCCATATCTACAGGCGTGTAATTTGAAGGCGCTCTTAGAGCGGTTTCACACAGTGACTTTTGCTTATGCAGTAGCGATGCAGTCGCTAATCGTCTACCTTTACACACGCGTGCAATTTTAAGCAGTGATGCAATCGCGATATATATTATATCGCTACACTTGGGATTTATAGTCGCGCGTTTGCATCGATGCAATCGCTTATAAATCGCATGTGTAGCGATGCAGTCGCGTGTGTCACGAACGCGCGTTTGCATCGCTGCTGATAGTCGCCGTGTGTAACCTAACCCTTAGACGTAGCTTTACGCTTAGCACCGCTGATCAGAAAAATTAAATCATCCGAATCTTTCGTTTACTTGAAAAATTACAAAGCTATTACAACCCGAAACGCACACCTTGACCAAGTACATAACCCAATCATATTTTATTATTAGCATTCATTCAAACTGCCCAATTTAGGAACGGAATTACTCTGCCGTTCCTGAACCTATACACCATGAAATTTGAAATTATCTTTAAAAAATACCAATCGCGACGAACTCAAAATTTTGAATTTCGACCCGTGACCTGAGACAATTGAAGCAAAGGTTAAAAAAAAACATTTGCGGGCGTCATTGTACAGAACTTAGATACCAGGAATCGACATTCCGTTTAGTGCCATCTAAGCTTCTGTATGAAGCTTATTTTGTTTCTCAGTACAGCACTTTTTAGATTTTGCGGTAAAATTTGCTTTGAACATTTGCCATAAGCTCATCAACTTACAGAGGTAACTTTCGAAGAATGTTTTGGTACACGTGGTTTGACTACTAGTAGCACATTTCTTGTCATCATAGCTTTTTATACAGCCAAGAGCACATCATGCTTGACACTTTGGATCGTTGTTATCACAAGTGACATAGTGTTAATTTGAATCTCAGGTGTCAAGCTTTTTTATGATCTTATATATTTTTTTGTATAATAAAATTTGTTCGCTTCTTAATTGGTTACTTTCATAAAGATGCTAACTTCGTTCATGCGTAAGTTGTTAAAAAAACGATTGGAAACTTCTAACTCTTCTAATCGTTTTTTTCCCGCAAATTACATTTCAACTTTCGAAAGATTCGGTAAAGACACTAAAACTACATATCATTTTCCAGGAAGAAAAAGAAGAAACCTTAGAAATGCTAGAACAAGGTCAAGCAGAAGTAAGAAGAAGACGAAGAAAAGCAATATTAAAAGTGTTCCTATCAACTGCTACTTTGACCTTCCTTGCTGAATGGGGGGACAGGTCGCAGTTGGCCACGGTGGTGTTGGCTACTAGGGAAGATGCAGTGGGAGTCGTCGTTGGGGGGTCCTTGGGACACGCCCTTTGTACAGGCTTGGCTGTGGTCGGGGGGAGAATGGTGGCGCAGAAGATTTCTGTGCGGACTGGTGAGTTAAAATTGTTAACAGAGTAATAAAATAACCTATATTAAATGCATTATATCCGCTCGTGATTACAAAAATTCAGGCTTGTTGGAAGATAGTAATATTAGAAAATTGTTATATTATTGATTTTAATGAACACTATGATCTTTTACTACTTTCTGAAATTACTCCCTCCACTATAACTTATTTTTGTTAGGATTAGAAAAAAAACGTAAACAAAGAAGCAGTGATCTTAAACATTTTTCTTCTTCAACAAATTACTGTAAAGGAAATTGTCATCAGAATTGATGACCAAATGACACGATAATGTGTTCTTATTTTATAAAAATTTGCCATTTAATATTTAGAAGCTCTATTTATTTAAATTTATTATAGTGCAAGTCTTTGAAATAGACTAAGTATTTAACCTTCAGTGAAAAATTTTCTCTTTATAATAAATATCAAGTGATGGGACGAACAAGTCGAGAGCCTGGTGGTAAGCTACGCGCCTATCCATAACAGTTGCAGTGCCACTCAGACTTTAAATCGCAAAGATCTTAGGGACACTGTCACTGCGCCTGTCACCTTGAGACATAAGTTGACAAGTCTCATGTGCCTATAATTTCACCAGTACGAGTATAAAGAAAACGTAATAATTGCATAAAGGTAGAAATGTTTGAGAATTTTGCTTCATTACATTTTGTTAAATTATTATTCATTAAGTTGCTTTGCTTACAAAATAACTGAATGAAATGGTGTCTGATAAAAGACCTTTTTTTTAAATTTTCATGAATTTCAAATTTCAATGCTAAAAAAAAAGCGAATTACCTATAGTTTGAATAACAAAGATCGAACACAAAGAACAATTCTCTATCAGGACGTGTAATTGCTAAATTTTTATTCTATTATGCTAAAGTCAATCACACCTCGTGACGTCATACGTATTTCCATATTATCCGGTTTTTTCGTCTTTTTATATACTTTTGGATTTTGGACTAAAAACTGTAACAAAATTATATTGAGGACGGTAGTCAATCAATACGTAAAATTCTCGCAATGGCTAGTTTGTTTACCTACGAATGACGTCACACGTTCTTCGTTGACATGTAGTGCCGTTTGTGCGGCAGTTTTGTTTTAAAATCTTTATTTAAATAAAATGATATTTATTTATAATAAGGTTAATAACCAATTGCGCCATCTTTTCTATGTGTGCAATTAATTAGATTTTATTTGAAATCTTTTGACGATATTTCTTTTTTTTATTTCAGTAACAATAATCGGTGGCATAGTGTTCCTTGCCTTCGCAGTAAGCGCTCTCATCATAGGACCCGGTGACTAATATAAAATAATGTAAATATTTATAAATAGGTTATGTAAATTGACAATATTGTATTTATACATAATGTTTTGTGTACGTAATAGCTGCCTGGTGACGGAAACATTTAGACATATTGTCTATAAAATGCTTCAAGAGACCTAAAATTAAGGTCCACACTCACTTATGTCAGCCAGCACCGGCACGGCAACATTTTACCTCGAAACGCAATATTCCAAAGTACCTTTATAAGTTGGTAGCGCGCTGTGTCTTGTAAACATATGATTATTTACGTTTACTTATAATAATACTTAAGTGAATTTGTTTAAATTAATAGACTTATATTGTTATAATAAAACGATTGACGCGCTGATAGATTCCACCCAGTTAAACTAGAACCAGGACAGATTCCTAAATGTTTCATCAGCCAGCGTCAGCGTGCTATTGTAAATTGTTTTTATTATGATATAGCCTAGACAATCTCAAGATAATTGTTTGACTGTTTGTATAGACGTTACGTTTCTAACTACAATGTTCGATGTTTGCTAGTTTTATGCGAGAATGATCCGCACGTGGATGAATACTTCGAGGTCGTTGGAGCACGGCCGTCGGATTGGATCGATTTTTTAAGGGACCGCTGTGTAGGGGAACGGAGCAGGCATGCCAAATTATTGTTTATACGACGTTTTACGAGCTTTAAAGCTTTACGCAGCGGCGCTGTGAAAATTAGAGCGGTTACACACGCGCGCCTATAAGCAGCTTGTGATTTATAAGCTATTGCATCTATGCAGTCGCGCGTTTGCCTCTATGCAATCGCGCATTTGTATCGACGCAATCGCCTATAAATCGCAAGTGTAGCGATGCAATCGCGCGTTTCACGAAAGTCGCTAAAACTCGCCATGTGTAACTCTTAGGCGATTAACACACTGCACCGCGCCCTGCGACACGGAATCATGCGCGCGGTGGCGGAGACGCAGATCTGCCTCAACACTCGGTTTAATCTGCGCGGTGCAGCGGTCTAGCGGCCCCGCGTCACCTTAAGAACTCGCTTCGCAGTTGATCGCCGTAGTGATTGTATATGTAGCCGAGATCCTTCTTTGACAAAAATGGTTAATAATACAGAACTCATGCAGGACGCTGCAGTTATACTGTCTATTTGCTTTTTGTTTACTCAAATAAAGACACCGAATATATTGGATACATCCCTTTTTACGAACCAGATCGGTAAATGGATAATTTCAACATCATTACAAAAATTTAAGAAAATATGAAGATAAATTTGGTCGATTTTCAATAGCAAATCTAAATTTAATAATTTTGTGCCACACCCTGCGGTGCGCCGCGCCTCTCCGCGCGGAAAAGCGTTGTCAGTGTGTTCGACGGCGCGTGTTTTTCTTACGAACTGAGGTACTTCAGTACAACGTTAAAAAACGCAGCTCCGCGCTCCGTCGAGGGGGGCGCGGTGCATATCCCAGATTCTGACACGTGCTGTGCATTGCATCCAGCTTCCCCTTTATGCGTGTGACGCACTTAATATCACCATAGCAGCAACCGTGGTGGTTAAACAACTGCGGTTTCTAATATGAATGAACGATTGGCTATACCTCAGTGGCCGCCGGATCGTATTTGTAAGCTGAGATTTATAAAACTTATATTTTTTTATGATACCAAGTGACGTGATAAACAAGTCGTGCACCTGGTCTTAACATTGCAATGCCACTCAGAGTTTTAAATCATAAAGATCACCGCCACTGCGCCCGTCACCCTGTGATGTCAGTTAACACAAGAACGCAGTAATGCTCACATCATTGGTTGGCGGCGAAAATAAGTAAAGTGGAAATACTTCCCTGGATGATTGATTCTATTCTATTGTTCAGGTTTCTTTTTAATGTCAAACGGCCAGGTCGTTTTGACGCTGGCTATGTGTACTAAAAATAGATAACAAATCATAAAGTTATTTTATATCGCTGAGCATTTCTAAAGAATACATTTAAATTAAGTTCTTGACCCTACTACGGCCAAGCTAAAAGGTAGGGTAATGATTTTACTAGTTTTATGTGTATTATGGTATAGTTGGCAAAATATTATTTGCACCAATTCGTTTTATCGCTTCATCTTTGGAGTACAATAGGACAAAACAATGATCCATCTCGGTAACGCACGTGCCATCTGTACAGTGCAAACAATTTTTTGGAAGTCTGTTACTTCCAAAAAAAAGGTGGTTATACACTCGGCTGTATATATGTTTTGAAATGTCTCCGTCAATTGTGGACCGATTTTGAAAATTCTTTTTTTTTTGTTTGAAATAGTGCACCCTCGTGGTGGTCCTATTGTCACCAAGTCAAAATCTAATGAGGGGATCCCATGAAAATCAAAGGAAATCCTCATATTTGCATGTCTGTGTATTCATCAATTTCTCCATCAATTGTGCACCGATTTTGAAAATTCTTTTTTTGTTTAAAAGGGTATACTCTCGAGGTGGTCCCTGATGCTGTTCCGGCTTTATTTCGGCTATCACAAATTACTAACAATTTTCCGCAAATATAAGTCGACTTTTCACTTAACAAAATACATGTAATTAACAAATCACCGTCCCCATGGCAACCTGAATAAAAAATATAATGTACAAAGGAGTCCGTAACAGTACATTTTGAGTAAAAAAAGTGTTAATGGTTTTATTACGCTATTGTAATAGAAATGATAAGCCGTCCCAAGAGATAACATTCATCGGTGCAAATAATATTTCTTCAACTATACCCTCGTAGCTTTTAAGCACTTTTATGCAACGTACGAAATGTCCGTTACGAAGAATTTTTGAACAGTGTTTCCCTTTAAACCACAACGTAACACTGAACCAGAAGAAAAAAAAATCAAAATAACTGGAGTCTGCTGACCCGGTTTGTACTAATAGGTAATGTCATTGCCTATATTTAAAGAACGTGACACATGACTGCTGCATCACGACTACCTCAGAGACTTGATCTGTAACTGTAACGATATCTCATTAGAAGGAATGAGGAGCACCGAAATAACGCGGCGTGATTCGGTGGGTGTGGCGCTAGGATAAGGACTAGGACTACCATAAAAAATCGCCGCTAGATAGAGAATGAGACACTGTTATAAATGTCATTAGACGCAGGTCATTCGATTATAACACATATTGCAATATTTATTTTGTTGAATATCGCACACTGATAATGAAAGTGATACAATGCAAAATTTTTGATTATGAGTAATCAGTAATTAAAGTTCTGAAATTTGTGATAACTGTATTTTCTTCCTCAACGATGATCTTTCAAAAATCTTAAGTAAATTTAGATAACTCGGTCTGTAGTTGGTAAGAGCGGCTGCCCCTGTGTGACAACAGACGCTGTCCGGTATGCGGTGACCACTCGAGAACTCGGCTCGGCCCCATCGGCCATTTATTCTGCGAGCAATGTACTCTGCCCACTGTTACTTAAGTTTAGCATTTCTTTGGACTGTGTCGGTTACTCTGGTTCCCTTGCGAATCCATCATCATCATCCATCATCAGCTGATTCGATCTCTCAGTGCAACTCCGAGCGTAACCCTTTCCCCATCGCCCTTTGTGTGACCTTGAGCGTTCTTGAGGCGTATAGTAAGCGACCACGTCTCAGTGCTGTAGTCACCACTGGCAATACACACTAGCCGAAGACTATCTTCAGTTTGTATCATGTCTATCTTATTTGTACTTTACACAAATGACGGAAAGTTCATTATGCAAAGTACAGACGGCAGCACATCAGGCTACACATTGACGGATCTTGGAGTCTACTTTTGTTCTCCGTCCGAAACAATAAAATTCATATAAATAATACAAAAGACAATCTCAAGTATGAAGCTTTATTCGCATCATGCATCTTTTAATTAAACTGAGTAGTACTTTTTGACATTAAATACAGGGCCTTGTCCCGTTGTACAGGAGGCGATATTCGAACAAAAATGTATAGCTTGATATGCTGTTGACTGTTCAATTTCGTTACAAAAAATTCGCTTTCATTCCGTTTTAAGGACTTTATCGGTGGGTACATTGTGGCTGCTGGATACGGAAGTCCCAGGTTCGATTTACGGTAGGACCATTTGGGAAATTAACTTTCTCAAATTGGTTCTGATCTCGGTGTTCTGGGAAGTGCCTCAGATTGAATTCCGTTGCTCTAGTGCTCATGGCACAGGGAATTCCCGACTTTGAGACCAGGTAATTAGAGTGGTTGTCTGGCACACTCTGGCTTTTATTAGTTATTTTGACGTAACGGCTTAAAGGTGTCAAAGTAACGAAATATTTTTTTTCTATACAATTTTAAGTGCGCATTTGACCTCCATCTCCCCTGATGGAAAGTGACGATGAGGTCGATGATGGAGCTTACACACTTAAATAATGCCTATTCACTCTCACTTTGAAAAGGTCCAGTTATAACATCTGCAGGCAGGGAATTCCACTCCATAGCCGTTCATCATATAAATGTGTAAGTGTAACGCTTCGTACGAATCTTTGGAATATCCACAACATAGGGATGGAACCCGAGCTTACGGTGGAAAGGGGAAGGCGGAATTAAATCGTGTAATTCCATCGCACACTCTCCGTGATATATCCTGTAGAATACCGATAAGCTGGCAACTTTACGGCAGTGTTCAAGGCTGTTAATGTGAAAGCTACTGATGAATTAAACCCGGCAATCCACCGCCCCGCTTTAGATAACAGGCATTAAGCACGCGCCCATGACAAGTTAGAATAGCAAATGTCACATGAAAGCGATTCTTGTTACGACCGGATAAAAACGCGCCTAGCCAGTCATGTTTTTTCATTTAACTAGGGCTAGTGTGTATGGTATACCCGGAAATGTTTTAGTTTATTTTTTTAATAAAGAAGATGTCATAAATTATTTTTATAGCCCATTGTGTAGTAAGAGCTAGGGATTGTTGAAATTACTAATTTAGTATTTGTAGCAAAATTTTAAATTATGCCAAAATCATTATTATGTCACAATGGTTCTGTACACATTTTTAAAGATAGATTTTTTTTTAGAAGGTTGTCTTGCGTTAGATATAAGTAACCGGCAATTAGAAGCGTGTATTCCTATTTTCATACAAATTTCAGTTGCGGTAACCGCCGACAGTATTCGACTGCCGCAACCGGCGACTGCGTGATTTCGTATTAATTGTGTGAAAATAGAATATTCGCTTCTAGTTGCGGGTTCCTTGTATCCAACACAAGATACACGTTCGCGCGACGCCTAATGGATAAATGTAAAGGCCTCGCACGACAGTAGCGACGTCGTCTTTCTCCCACCAAATTAAAGTTTTCGATGACGGATGAACGTCAATCCGTTGTCGTTGATGCTGTCTTTCCGATTCTTTTTTACTTTTTTTAGGTATCTGTTAAACTTCTTACAACATTACGGTTTAAAAAGCAATGTAAAGAGAGATAACCTTATACCCGTTCAAGACGAAGAACAGCCCGATGGCGTGTGCTCTTACTTGTGATATTAAAAAAAATTAATTAAAAAAAAATTGGAAATTGAAACCTGGACTATGATAAATTTTTTTGTTGCACCTTATATTTGTAATAGATGAAACTCTAGAAATGTTACTACGATTATGTTAATAATATTTAAGTGAAAATTTTATTTATAAAAGCAATATTTTAGTAATAGCTTTTGCCATTGGTCAAAATACAGTAATTAGCCACTTCAAGTATGATAAAAAAACCAGCTTGTAAAATTTGTAGAGGAAATACACACATTAACACAAGAACATTTGCCAATTACTAAAAATCAGATTTTTTTAATAATTTTTTAATACCGATGGAATTTTTTGGTTTATTTTATATTTTAAATTTTTTAATTCACCAAAAAAAATCCATTGGTAGTAGTTAATTACGGTACTTGACCAATTTATTACGTAACTTACAGAGGGCGGTTTCATTTCAATACACTCATACTAAAAATGTTCGACCAATTTCATTGTTTTCCTCAAGCGTGTTTTTATTCGCAGTATGCTATGTCTGTACTTAAT